GGAGTGAGAGAGATTGAACGTGTGGGGAGAAGCAGGTGGTCTGTCGTGTCAAGGATTTTATGTCAAAAGTACAGGTTCTAGAAAGCGTTTTGCCCTCAAGAGATATTCGTCATGGAGATGTGTTCATAGGGACCTCAGGAATGGGGCCCTTAAGGACAGAACACGCTCAAAAGAGATGAAAAGTCTGGTAAATGTAGGAGGGTGAAGCTGTAGATCCTTTGGCCCATAATGCCCGTTGGTGAAACAAGTGAATGAAGACCACGTGACCGACACGGACCAATCAGCGGCCTCGGATTACCAACGGACCAATCAGCGGCCTCGGAGATTACCAACGGACCAATCAGCGGCCAGAGATTACCTACCATCTCGAAGTCACACGTAAACAAGGAGTTCTCCTGAAAAGTACAAAATAAAGCAGCTGGAAATGGAGGTAAAAAGTTTTCCTCTTTCAATGTATTGCCTCGAAACTAACTGCCCTAGAGGCTAGCAGGGCCAAAATGGTGGAAAATCAGAAGGCAGAAGGTAAATAACGCCACGGGGAGGGAAAAGGGGAGAAAAATCCGTGACTCGGGTGCACATTGTTGGAACGCGAGGAGGAATGGGAGTGGGGTTCCGGTTCCTCTTTCTTTAACATGAAAAAATGCCCGACGTTATCAATGGACAAAAGGTATTTCCTCGAGCCTCACCATGGCGTCGGCTGTATTTCCATAAGGGTTATAGGCGTTGCGAGTCGTAGGTTTTTAACATCGTGGTCGTAAAAAAGGGCCTCCGTTAATTTCACCTGTTTATTTTTTTTCAACGATTTGTTTATTTAACCCCAATTATTTGTCAGATTATTTTCTCACCAATTTAATTGTCATCATTAAAAAATGCTCGCTTAACAGGCCTATAAGTAAGTTAGAAAATAATCGGTTGAATCTATCTTACGTTTCCATTCTGCCAGTGAGGGAATGTCGTGATGTATGTATGTATGTATGTATGTATGTGTATATGTATGTATGTATGTATGTGTGTATGTATGTATGTATGTATGCATGCATGTATATTAAAAGAAAGTTTGATGAAAGATTTGTTTGTAGTTAATGTTTCTAAAATTTGGGTTGGCAGAGTGAGACCTTGTTGCTTGTTGAGTGTGTTTGTTATTTGTATAAAAAGGCACATGGTATATTGAAGTCTGTTTTATTGATCATTGTTTTGATTTTGTAAAAGGGTTTGACACATTTTTACAGACCACATGTATTACTCTATTGCAAGTGTAAGGGATTTTGCCATTGCAGTCTAGTTGGATTATTATGTTGGAATATTTTAAGAGGAAATTGAGCATGATATTTATGGTAGTTATAAAACAAACAACTTTTCAGAAGTAAATTACTAACTAAATTGGTTACCATAGTATTTATACAATAATTGCTGCAGATGTTTTGCATTGAATTTGATATTAGAAAAGGAAGATTAATGCGTGTGTCACAGTCCTTTGATGTTATTACTCGCAAGAGGAACATATTTGAAAAAATTGCTCATTTGTATGCAAGAGTATATAACTTTATTCGGAGAACTGAGGTACACGTCAGTGTACTCTCCCTCCTCTTCATTATTTTTCATTTCTAATAGGAAATCAATAACGTGTATTTTGTATTTTTTTTTTTTGCGTGTGTGTTAAAAGCCATAGTCTCCTACTTTATCAGTATTTTTATCCATCTTTATCAGCAGGAAGTTAAAACCATTATTTAAAGCGGTCCAGTAGTTAGAGCTGATAAATACAGGTTTCAGGCGACATTTTCGTTTCAAATAAACCTAGAGATGAGTTTGTATTGAGTCTGCTTATCAAAGATGGAATAACCAGATAAACAAACAAAAACAAGAACAATTAGTACTCCTTTCCTTGTATTGAAGTAAAGTTTGTTGAAATTTCTGCTGCTTTTGAAAAATTTTGATAGTTCACTGCAGTACACTAGAGATCTCATTGAAAAGCGACACGCGGCGTATATCTTCCCATGACCAGATACAGAGGGATTGGTGTTTCTGTTACATAAACGGTTATCGTATATATTAAGATCTCTTTATTGATGTAGATTCTATGTTCATGTTCACCCTTTGTGAAATTTTTGTGAATGCAGAAAGCGCAAGAAACTTGTTTTGTTAATTTCTGATAATATAAATTAAATAAGGCGATACTTTACTGTACAGACACACTCGCCAAAAACATAGTCCCCACCTCCTCATCACAAACTTTAATCAACAATCAAAATTCCTGTGATTGGGCGTGCCCTTTGAGTAGTGCCCGAGGAGAGGGTTGACTGGAGGCTCTGCTCCCTAACACCCCGCCTAGGAAATATTGTATTCATCTAGGTATACACAGCAAGATATAGCTGAAACTAAAAGCATTGAGTGGACTTGTGTTCTAAGTGCGGCATTCTGCAAAGTTTATCATTATTTTTGGAGCTATCCTTTGTGTCTGCAGATTATTTCTTGTACTGATGACTGCAACTTTTTGTCTTCT